GTGAAGAATTATTATATGAGTTACAAATGTGTCTTGAGGAGAATGAAACATTAATTAATCAATTTTCAAGTAAGTTTTATTGTTTTCAAAATACTGCAGTTATGTCTGAAAAGATGGCATATAATAATCAAATGATAATATTGTTATAAGTGTTCGTTTGCTAAATAAACATTGTTTATTCAGAAAAATCTCCCAAAATAACAGAATTACATAATCAATTAGAAGCTGTACGAAAAGAACTAACTCGTTCTAAATATGTTAGTCAAGTATTATGGCGAAAATTAGATGCTCTCGAAGCCGTACATGGTTCACAACAAACACGTGCCGAATTATTCAGTGAATTATCACAATACAAAGATTTATTAGAATTTGCTAAAACAAAACAGCAACGTACTGAATCTACACAGGGTTCACGATCATCATCAGGTTGATGTTCATTGCCCATTGTATTATGGATCGATGCTTATTATTATTATTGTTGCTACACAATGTGTGTGTGTGTGTGTGTGTGTGTGTGCTGCTTTTTTTAGTACACCTCAAATCTTCGCTTTAATACTGTGTGTTTTATAATTGTGCTAATTAACTAACATACTCTGTGTATAACAATAGATCTCTCTTGCTCATTGTTTTCTTCTTGTTGCATGAAAATCATCTTTCTAGTTGTTATAATTAATTTAAAATATTTATCTTCGCATTATGTTTTATTTTTCTTATCCCTATTAGAACAGAACATGAGCATAATTCAACGTACATATTCTCCTCAATGTACGGAACCGTCAAAGAATATTAAATCAACAATTGCATTATTAGATAAAACAACTCATGAATGGCAAATTAAACATAAAAATCTCAAAGTAAGTTATAGTCTAGTTTCTAATAATATTATACATTAAAAAATATATATTATTTCTGTACATTTTCAGGATCAATTAAGTAGAAATGAAACTCTATTACGTTCATATAAAAAGGAAATTCAACGTTATCAACATCTACTACACGAAGCTGGTAAGTTGATGACTAGTGCTGAAATTAAACTGATATGATATACTATGATTTTAGGTTTGATTCAACCTGTTCGAAAACGTCGTTATAGTTCGAGTGATATAGATAATCCTCCTACAATTGATTTTCGTAAATCTATCGTACATCAAAATAATGATTATCTATTGAATCATTATGGTAATACGAATCAAGTTGACGTGTTGCATGATCATATCAGTGCATTAAAAAATATAGTGCAAAGGTAAATGTTCTTTTTAAAAAACATCTTATTACAGTCTGATAATAATTATTTTCGTTCAGTCACCGAAAATATATCCAACAATTGCAAACACGTGTACGAATAAATGCACCCGATATTATTCATTCATCAACAACATTAGAAAAAGAAACGGAAAAATTAATTGATGTTAATAAACAGTTAGAATCGACAAATAACGCCTATAAAACTGAGTTAGAATTAGTAAAAGATGAATTTAAAAAATTATATCAGAATTTTGAACATTATCGTACACAATTGAATGAATACAGTACAGTTATAGATGTACAACGAAAACAAAACGAAAATTTAACTGCAAGATTAACAAATTCATATCATATTTTAAAGGTATACTCTCAATTACTTTCACTCTGTTCGGAGACTTGTCTGGACTCTGTTCAGACTAGTCACCAAACACGTTTCTTACTTGCCTAGATACATGTATCTATATTGATAATTATATATATTTCATTTTAATCACTTAGACTTTTAATTTCAGAAATGTGGTGTTCGTAGTCCAGTATTAACTGATTTATTTGACACAGAATTATTACAGAAAAATCAATCGACAAAAGATTTAACCGAAGAACGTATTGATAATTTTAGTATTGACCTTATTACATCCGATGAAAGATGGCAGCCAAAACAACGTATGTATGAAAAACAACACACTAAACTACATAGTATTCAATTGCTAGATATAGATAGGTTTTAGTCGTTTAAACCAGTCTGACAGGATCTTATTCTCAAAATATTTATCATGAATAAAAAAGAAGTAATGCGTTATTTTGAATAGCACTACAATTTCTATGTTGTTTTTCAACTTATTTGCAGATTAGTTTAATCTTGTTTAGGGCATAAGAAGAGAAAAAGAATCCAGAGATTCAGAGCTACAATAGCGGATCCCATAGACACAGTAGAATATTATGCGGACACTTAACAAAAAATCGAAAATCGAAAAATCTTTTATCAGATTTTACTGAGTGAAAATATCCTTCAATGAGAGAGAACACCGTACAATGACAAAACTTTTTGTCTCAAATGAGAAGCATCATGAGAAAATGCACAGTCTGAAATTAGCTTGAAAACAAGGGAGTACGAGGTAAATGTTTTTTATTATATTCATCAGTCAATGTGATAAGCTTCCTATTTTTTTCCTGCCTTCAAACTGTCTCATACTTTGTACACATATTCTTCTATCTATACATATAAAATCAGAAAGATATAAAAACGTAAAAGTTTAGATAAAATTGGTATTTTGTTGTGAATGTGTGTAACCACTTTAATACAACACATTTAAATCACAAAACGACGCCCTTTTCGAGCAGTACAGTGAACGAAAAACATCTGAAACCATTTTTTTCAATCAATTTTTTATCTGTAGATTATAGTTCTTCTTATTCATTATCTGCGGTTCCAATTTTAGTTGAGGTTATTGTCCATCTTGCTGCTTCTGGTATCGTTTACAGTCGCCATTCAAAAAAAGTCACTTAATTCTGGACATAACAAATGATAATAAATGCATCGTAATGCATTTACAAAATTCGATATTTTATGCGCACAACAAACAGCTGGATCAATGAAGGAATAACTGCGATTTAGATAAGATTTCTACGTAGTTGTAATAAATTAAACTTGACTAATGACACTTACTGTGTAACAATTCAAAAATTCCTTCATAGAGTGGTTTTCGAGCAAAATGTAGTCGACCTGGTGGAAAAAATGAAACTTGTGTAATTCTTTTTATGAGTACAAAACTTTCGATATTTTTCGACCATAATCACCGTAGTCCTTTGCTTGCATTCCTAATAGATTTTGTAATTCATTATTCTTCTAGTACTTATAAAAAATAGTCTATGAATCTTTTGCACAATAACTGTACTCCACAGAATACTTTTTACTTACTACTTCGTCGGGAAACGTTTTATTATTATCATGAAAAACATCCAAAATTTTATTAATCTGAATGAATATTAAGCTGTATTCAACTTAATTTTGCTTTCGAAAATGTATTTCCTGTCCTTTTCTCAGCTTACCTTTTCAACATCCTACCTAAGACTCATCGATTACCTCTTCATAGAAATATTACCGGATAGTCACGGATAAATTTGTATGGGAAAAGTTCATAACTTGAAAAAAAATTGAGTACAATAGTCAGATAACAACAATATGAATATTTCATCTAAGTTTTGTCAAACACGATTGTTGTTCAACGAAGAAAAATGAATATGGCAATGAGTATTACAGTTAACATCTGCATTTCGATCTCTCTCATCCTTGATAATTTTTACCTATCGTAATACTAATAAATACTTTTAAAATGTTCTATATAGGAAAAATGTAAATCTTCTTTTTAGGCATGTGGCGATTCTTTGTCATAGGGGGTAATAAATTATACTCTCTTTGATTACAGCAGATAAGTGAATTATAGACAATGTTGTGTGAGTAGAAACATTCGTTTCTAACCTCATATTTACAGATTATTCCATCAAAGTATTTATGAATGGTTGTTGGTTTTTTTTTTTAAATGAATAATATCTAACAAATGGCATTTGATTTTTATTGCTAGAAAGCTCTATAGATTATCTATGATCATATACTTTTACTACTTATAATAATAAGAATATTATCAATTTGAAAAATCGCTTTACTGCTGCTCTCATAATTGCTCATAACATAATATTATTGCATAAATATCGATCCATAGTTCAAAAAAAAACATGGTTATACAGTTTTTCTAATAGATATTTTTCATCTGATTATTTAGAAACATCATTAGTTGTACGCGATACTACGGTGGACAATAAAGAACGACAAATACAAGAGCTAAGTCGTCAATTATCTTCAGCTAATCTACAACTTCGTGACTCAAAAGCAACTATTGAACAGATTGATGCACAATATCGTCAACAAATTAGCGATTTGAAATCAAAATTTGAGTCAAATAGCAGCAAATATCAATTCGAAGAATTACAGGAACATAATCAACGGTAAATCATACATACTGCACTCTTAAAACATGTATAACGATTTATTAGTATAAAATTTCTCTATTTATTAGATTAAGTGTTGAAACAAAATCATTAAGAAGTGAGATAAATAATTATAAAATATTAGTTGAACGTTATAAACAACAAGTATCCATTTTGGAAAATAGAGTTCAAACGAGTATGAAAAAAAATAATAATAATTTTTTAAATAAAATATTCAATTTAAAATTATTGTACAATTTTAGTGAATGTATCAACGGGTGCTGGTGAAATAACTATTCGAACAACAGAAATGACTGAATTATTAAATGAAATGAGACATTTACGAACAGATCTTGAACGTAGTATTAAAAAACAAACAGATTTACAAGTTATATTAGATGAAAGTATGAAACAATCACGAACAACAAGAGAATTTACATTTCAAGGAAAAGGTTTGTGATAAATATTAATTTTTATAAATTAAAAAAAGATTATCTATTTTATATTATCAGGTATATCGTATCCCGATCTTCGTATACTTGATGGTTCTCTTATATATGGTGATACACAACGTTTAAGTTTAGTAGCAGTAGATAATAGACGTATAAGACCAATTGGATCATCAACAACTGAAATTAGTGAAATTGAGAGATATCACGGTAATTGAATAAAAATATCTTTCATTAGTGATATTTATGATCATTTTTTTCTATTTTTATTTTTTAAGGTCAAGAAATGTGTAAGACATGATGTTAACCACTATTGTACAAATTTAATGTATTTATTATTGTTAATGTTTTTTCTAGTACCAGGTAAAATGTATATTGTGGGTGAAATAGAAGATCATTCAACATTAAGACAAATAATAAGCGATATTAAAACTGAACTAAAATCAATCGAATCAGACATAAACGATAAATCAACATTAAGACAATGTTTACAACGTCTTGATGACTGTTATCGAATAATTGATCTTTATTGGAAAGCATATTTACCCGTTAAAGATAGTAATGATGAACATCACTTTACTGATCAGACATTTGGAAACGAAGTTTGTATTCATTTCACTTGATGTGTTAGAAAATTTATTTTCTATCCTAATCTCTATTATTATTTTAGAATACAGAATATAAAAGAGTAATAACAAAAAGTAGTAATGATTCTCAACGTTCAAAACAAAGACGTAGAGAACAAACGAGTTATAATAAAGAAGTTTTATCACACCTAGTTGTAAGTAACTAACTGATCTATTTATTAAGTATAAAAAATCGCATTAATTACGATCACATACATATATGTAAACATACACACACACATACACTCTCTCATCAAATTTTCTATTTTATTTATTTGATAAAATTATCCCAAAATTCTGCAACAATTTTCTCTGTTAAATAATTTTCAGAAAGAGAATCGTAAAAAAGCACATACGAGCAATTATTTGGCATTATTACGTAAGTGAGATTATTTTTTAAGTGTTATCACTCTGAGTAGGCATGTGTTTGTTTGCATTTGTTTGTATAGTTTTACTAAAATAATTCCGCATTTCTGTAGTATATAAACACATAATAAATGTTTGCGTTTTCTTTCACTTTGCTGGTTATTTCATCGTGTTCATATTCTTGTTTGATTTTAACATGTTTGCATTGAATAATATTTGTTCAAAAAACAAAAAAAAAAAATGAATCATCTACTTTTTTTTGTGTGTAATACTGATCACTCGAAGAGATCTAAAAATAGTCATTCTGATTATATGACTCAGCTACACACACACACTTTCACTTGAATATTTCGTATTTTTATATCGAAGGTAATTAACGGCGAAGATGCACTAACGTGTTCGAGTTCAATGCATTAATATTTTTCTTTTAGTACTTTAGCATATTTTCATTTTTTTACAAAGATATTCACTTTAAGTTGTAGTTAGTAATTAATAGCCAACTTCTTTTCTGCCTGGGCATCTCATGTGTAGATGATAAAAAATGGTATTATCAAACAAAAGTCAGAATGATATAATGGGAATTTATATTCTCGATTTCGTTCTGGTTCAAGATTAAAGCTTAAACCAACAACGAAACACAAAAACACAATAAAAAAATACAC